CTACAGTAAATTAGACTACTCCTGGAAGAAATATCTTAGTATGAAATATTTTCAGAGAAACAATACCATTTTCCAGCAAGACCAAAGGTACTGGTTTTACCATCTCACACAGGATGTTCATCATTATAACCCCAGAACCTGAATCAGGGCAGTTTTAGGTAGGCATTGCATGTGAGAGCACATCATACAAAAGATTTCAGGACTTGTAGCCAGGTAATTGCTGTAAGATACTGTGATTATTGCCCATCCCAAATATATTAAACTTCTGCTCACCCGAGTAAATTGATGTCCAGACATGGAAAAGTTTATGTGCATTGCATTAGATCAAGGATTCTTGGTTTGAGCTGCAGCTCAAGCTCTGAGCAGTGGAAGTAGCTGGTACTGGGAACTTCAGCTAGCCAGGAGAAAATACTGCCCTGTTCTTATGTAAAATCATCTGCTCTCTTTCAATCTTTCTTGGTAAGCAGAGGGCTGTGCAGTTTCTCTTCAGCCTCTCCTCCTTGGTATGTGCATTTGCAGCCAGATGGATGAAAAATGCACCAAGGTCAAAGGGAGGGAATGTAGCTTTTGGAAACTGCTGGGAAAAAGCTCTTACTTGATTGAATAGTGTTATTCTGAAAAATAAAGCATGAATAGGACACTTCACAGGCCGTGGCCACAACACATGAACACCCTTGTGCTGTAACCAGGAACAAGTCACAGGTAGCATTAATTGTTGGACATGCTTCAAACACTCAAGCCCCTGCCAAAGGCTCTCAGAATCCAACACAATCCTTCTTTTGAGACCCAGAGCTGGTGCAGCACTGCTGTGTCAGCTGCTGGGGCATTAACTCACGCTGCCTTCCAGAAGCAACAGAAGCACTGGCTGTGCTTTGGATCTGAAAGCAAATGTGGAGGATTATAAGGTCACACTCTCTATATGCACCTCAGCCTCTTATTTTCTCTGACAGGAAAGAATTCTTCCCTTCTCCCTCCTGCCTCCAAAGCACAAAAGTACTATTTTGTATGGATTGTGTTGATGGATTATTATTTTCTTGAAAAGCCTCTGTGTGTGCTGTACAGAGGTGTTTATCAGTGAAAGAACCATGTGCATCTGAATAAAAAAATTACTCACCTAAAAGACAATTATTTTTTTAACACCTTTTGCAGAGACCTGAAACTTGACAATGTGATGCTTGATAAAGAAGGCCACATTAAAATAGCTGATTTTGGAATGTGCAAAGAAAATGTTTTTGGTGACAACAAGGCAAGCACTTTCTGTGGGACCCCAGACTACATCGCCCCTGAGGTCAGTATGGCACAGCCACACACTGCTGGGCTGGATTTAAAGCACCAGTGTTAGAACAGCTGCTGTGATTTATCATCTCTTGGTAGTTCAGAAAAGCCAAAGTCTAATTATCACAGAAAAAAACCTTTAAATCTGAGTTCTGTATAGAAGGGACTTGAGATCTGGAAGTATTCTAATAGGTGCAAGTTTAACACCATGGTTCAGAGTTCAGATGCTCAGTTTTTGAAGAGCTGGTTTTCTCTAAAGCTTTTCCAGCCAGCACACGTTGGGAGTCTGAAAATGGATCTACATACACTGCAGGTGGAGAACAGACTTGTGCCCATGCAAATAACCAGAATTCAAAACAAAAGCAGCTTCTAAGGGAAATCTCACCAAGTTAAATACCCTGTGTTATAGCTGGTTTTTTACATCTCACTTGCAAAGTAGCCCAACTAAGATGTTTAGCTTTTAAAGCTACAGATTGTCAAAGCCTGTTTAGTAAAAATCTACATTTCAGCCCTACTTGCTTCTCCTTTCATCTTGTAAAGAAATTAGAGAAGATGTTTTCCAGGTATATGGTTGTTTAAAGTTAATGGAGAAAACTTCTGAATGAGAGCAAAGACCTGTCCATGGAACTGGCCACATTCCCACAAACAGCAGCAAAGGATAAAATGGCAGATATGCATCAGTGGCAACAATTTCTCAGCAAGATGGATTCCCCCCCCTCCCAAAAATGCCCTGGTTATTAAAGATTCTCTTTTAAAATCTCTTCTCTGGCTTTTGGTATATATTGCTTCCTTTTACTAATCACTTGTATTTCTTCTTCTGCGGAACAAGATCCTGCAAGGCTTGCGGTACACCTTCTCTGTGGACTGGTGGTCATTTGGGGTCCTGCTGTATGAGATGCTGATTGGCCAATCCCCTTTCCATGGGGATGATGAAGATGAGCTGTTTGAGTCAATCCGAGTGGACACCCCTCACTACCCACGCTGGATTACAAAGGAATCGAAAGATATACTAGAAAAGGTAGGACTGAGGATCAGCACATGGGTCATGGCCCCTCTGTCTGGGGAGGGACAAATCTAGGCTTTGGAAAGAAGCTGTTCAGCAGCAAGCAAATTGCTCTTACAAAGGGAAAGTCAGGTAAGATAAATTACTCCTGGTCTGTTTACTGCTAGCAATTAGCAGCATAGCTGTTATTCTTCCACTACCACATGCCTTTTTGAGCAGCTGTAAGGGTTTACTGGGTGTTTTCTTTTGCAGCTCTTTGAAAGGGATCCAGCAAAACGACTTGGGGTCACTGGGAACATCAGAGACCATCCTTTCTTCAAAACAATCAACTGGACAGCACTAGAGAAGAGGGAGGTGGACCCTCCTTTCAGGCCAAAAGTGGTACGTTGGTTCTCCTTTGTTCTGTAGCAAACAGAGCCTAGGGCTAAGGGGTGACTTCTTTAACCTGCTCAAAGTATCCTACTGTCATTTTCTGCTCACATTTTACAAATGAGATAGTTATGTGATTCAGTTATAAAAAGGCGCACTATATTCCTCTGAGTGCCCTGAAGTCTATCTGTTATGTCTGTGTTCCTGTGCTCTCTCAAGGAGCTTCTTCATGAACAAAATCTTTAGGAAAACCAATGGGTAATTCTAATCCCCATTCTCCTCCATGCTAGAAATGGTGGTTGATTGCTTGTGGTTTTCTTTTCTGTAATGCCATATGGAACAAGTACCAATAACTCAAGGCTGCTCAGTCAGTACCTGCCTGCAGGGACTCTGTGCAAGCAATAAATCTTTGTTGTTTCAAACTCATCCAAGAGTCTCCAAGGGGGCAAAAAGATGCATTCTCTATGCGACTGAATTTAGAACTAACACACATATGGATGTTACCTGAACGTGTTTATCTACCTTTATGTTACCTTTAGATGTTTATCTAAAGAACAGACTGTGTGTTACTCATAATCTGTATCACCATGGGATGCTGCTGCTTGATCTCACCTAGTTAAAAATCCAAACCACTGTTCCTCCACCCTGTTACTGGAACAGGTGAAATGATATGGAGGCAACAGTCTAAATGTACTTAACTTTTACTCAATGGAGGAGAGCAGTCCCCTTCAAGAACACAAGGTTTCATGGTCCCAGGGAAGTGAGAACTCTGGAAGCATAAGGATCCTACAAACAGCAACCTTTGGAGGTTCAGAGGGTAAAACAGTCTTTAGTAATGTGAATGTTAATGAAACACACACAGATTAACTAGACACAAAATGCAGCTGCTACAGAGCATCACTTTTTTATCTCTGAACAAGTATAGACCATAAAATGCTCTCAGGAATTTAAACACTTTAGCTAATGTTGGCAAGAAATGTTGGTCTTAAATAAGTGCTGCATTGGCTTTGTCAATAGAGAATCTTTGAGTAATTATGCATCATTATCAGAAATCCCAGTGGTTCTTCACAGCAACCTGGTACTACTTTTGTTTGGTATTTTGTTTGGTTTCAACTAACAATAAGTAATTGCCCAGTTATGATCTTACAGTGTTGTTAAAATAGGTTAAAATGAGATTATTTTTTTCTCTCTAAAGCAGAGGGAGGGAACTCAAGGACTCCCCAGCCTTTTTGTATTTAAGCAGTTTGTTCTGGAAGAAATTACAAAAGTGTGCCTCTAACTGTCTCCTTCTCTGTCTAACACAGAAATCAGCAAGTGACTACAACAACTTTGACAGAGAATTTCTGAGTGAGAAGCCAAAATTGTCTTACAGTGACAAAAACCTGATCGAGTCCATGGACCAATCTGCATTTGATGGATTTTCTTTTATTAACCCTAAATTTGAACAGATCTTGGACAAGTAAGTCTTGACCAGTTGGACTTTAAAGCAGGGTTAAAGGTTAGAAACCCAAACTCCCAAGTGTTAATGCATTCCAGTGGCGCTGACGATACTTCAGAATAATACACAGTAGTGTGATGAATTATGTCCAACTCCTGATTTATTGGCAGTGTTTTTATGCATGGTTGGGTTTAAGGTATGTAAATCATGTGCATTATTTTCTCTGTTTGGGAAAATGTAAATTCTGTTTGGTACTTGAATGTAGTTATGTTATATATAATATGTGCTGTATATTTTGCTCGAGAGAAGACATTGGGGAACAGAAGATGTCTTTTTAACACGTGTTTGAGCCCTTGGTTCTTTTATTTGTCTTCAATTAAAAGAAAGTTTAATGTAACTTTCATTCATGGCTCTATGATTTTTTTAAAGAACATACAATTAAACTCCAGTTGTCTTTAAACTATAGTGAAAATACTTTGAAAGCCCTGATCACTTCCTAAAATATTTATTGTTTCTGTGAATTAATCAAAATGAAGAAAATCAGGCAAAAGCAGAGACTGCTAGTATAACACCAGCTGCTGCTGCTGTGCAGCCCCATCCTGACGCAAAATGTAGGATTGTGCCATCAAACACCATTGCCTATGAACAGCAACATGCACCTTGGGCACAGGAGCTGATCACAGCAGGCCAGAATCACCAGGTACTGACTGGAGGGTTAGTGTGCTATGTCTACTCTGCCCAAGAGGAATTATCCTGCTTAAATACAAAATCCTTCTTCCAGTGTTACTTACTTGCTTTTAACACAGCAGCTGTGGTTCCTTCTACTTGCTGTAAAAAAAGGGCACAAAACTGGCTCCTGCTTTGTTGCAACACCTACTTAGGAATTTTGATTTTTAACCATTAATGAGAAAGAAAAACTGGAATTGCTGTAAAACTCCTTTCAAAACTCTTCTCCTTGCAGCCAGCTTGTAAAACAGACTGAAGCAAGGGCCCTTTCTTCTTAGCAGCTTTCTGTATCTTGTAACACTAGTGCAAATGATTTAATTTTCTCAACCACTGAGCAGGCAGAAAAAAGCATGCTGGTGTCAGTTCATTCATCAGTTATACAATGCTACAGAGCAATTAGGAGCATGCTGTAGCTTCT